GACCTTCCTCCTCCTCCAACCCTCCTTCTCCAACCTTCCTCCTCCTCCAACCCTCCTCCTCTGACCTTCCTCTGTCTCGCGTCACAGGTCTCAGCAGCCGTACAAGTGGGAGAGAACATACTCTGACGACACATCAGACCTGCAGTCGATCTCGCGACCTGGGTCGCCGCGCAAACGACCGATGATCGTGAAGCAGGGGTCGGGGTCATCGTCAGCGAAGGGTCAGGTGTGCCTGCAGGAGTCCGCAGTCTTCTACATACCGGGTCTCGATGTCAAGGTCAGTGCCAAGCAGGTCAAGGTCAGTGCGGGGAGGTCAAGGTCAGGGCAGGTCTTTGGGTCAAGGACAGTGTGGGGTGGCAGGTCGAGGTCATGTACATGATTTCAACTTGTATATATACATCATATACGATATAGACAATATATATACTATTGTCTATAGATACTTATATACTACATATATATCAAGACAACGAACGCAAACGTACGATCGTGTCATCCCCACGCGTGTTCCTCACGCACCGTTGCTCTCCTCGCGTATTCATGTACCGTTCCTGTCGCTCGCTCGCAGGTGAACTACAATTCGAAGACGAGTGACGCCGCCGCCGCAGCATGCGCCGCCGCCCCGCCACCAGGTGGCGCTGCGTCGTCGACGACCACGCTGGGGGTGGGCGGGGATGACGCGGCGGGCGGCGGGGGCGGGGGCGGGGGCGGGGGCGGGGCGACGCTGCAGCGGTCAGCTAGCGGCACGGGACTGGTGTACATGTCGTCGCGTAAGACGACGGCCGTGAAGAAAGCTAACCTGTATGCGTGGGTGAGCCTGCAGACCGTCGAAGAGACGTTCGTCAGCCCCACCGTGCTCGACTTCCTAGAGCAGGCCTTCGACACCGGTACGTGGCGCCACCTGCCTGCTGGGCTCGTCGACGCGAGCTCTTGTTTCACCCGAGATGATTATTAATTTAAGACAATTATGTTCATGTTTGTTTTTTCATTATTATGTGGTTGTTTTGCTTTTTTCTAATATGTGGATGTGATTTTATATTCTGAAATCAAGAGATTTAACATTTATGTTAATGTATTTTTCATGTTAATGTTAGTGGTAATGTTAGCATTACTGTTAGTGTTCACAATACATTAATGTTAGTATTAATTTTAGCATTTAATTTAGTGCTAATATCGTAATGAATTTCAATGGTAACTCTTGCAGTATGAGATATTAATCTCATGTCCCATCGT